TGTTGTTTTGTTTCAGTTTTAAACTTTCTGTTGTTCCATTTAGAACTACTTGTTGTTTTAATTTTASGGCTAATGTTCTGAGGCTAAGGTCATTATAAAAGCCTTAGCCACCCRTTTAATGAGACAGACACGTTTTTATGAACAAACCCTAGTTAAATTCTTAGCATAGTAATTTCAGAACTCTTCTTACTTGAATCGCCTTCAAGGCTAGGAGAACTTRGGTGTATCACAAGRCTTATCATCCCTTGTGTGGTCCAATTCACTTCRCCATCCCCGTGTTCTGMCTAGGAGAGTTTCTCACCTTACTTGCACACAACACAACCCACGAATACAGATCTTCCTTGTTCACCAAGGCTTGTATAAGAACCTGAAACTTTGGAGTCTACTTCAGCATCTGTGCAGCATGTAACTAGCTTGGAAACCAAAGACTAAAAAGCAGCAAATAGAGAAAAGTATTAAAAAAAAGTGGACCAAAATAATAGCATTAACACATACCTGGAGTTGGTTACCTTGTATGTTAACAATTTCTATGGCCGGATTGTTTGGAATAAACCTGGCAAATAGGAAGCTATACTGTCAAAACATGCCGAATTGCTTTAGCAGTTTCATACAACATAGAGTATATCTTTGGCTCTTCAAATATTAACTATAGATTCTGTAAGAAAACATGATGTCAATATATATAGATCAACTAAGATTAAAACATGAAGTTCCTCTCACCAAAAGAAACACTATGCAAAACTACTGGAGATATTATGATAATCATTGTCTTACTTTTAACAAACAAGCCCAAGACAATAGCAAAGCCAAATCAAGTAAAAACTACACCTTCTAACTCTACAACATAGTTTTTACTCAAGACACTAAACCAAATGATCAATCTCATTGCTACCTCAAATTCAATAAAGTCTGAAGAAAGTCACTTAAGTGTTAAAGAAATTGAGCACTGCCAATCAAATAATCAACTAGATATATAGAGAATTTTGCTCACTTTAAGAAACTTGGAACTGAAGATTTATGACCAAGAATAATTCTTGTAAGTTCTTCAGTCGCGACCAACTAGATGTCAGGTATGCCAATGATTTTTCTATACCATATTTCTCTGACAAACTGCCAGATATATATATATATATTGTGACTGAAGTATCAAATTGACAAAAACATTGATATCTTGTGAAAAAGCTTCGGCAAATAAAAATTTCACCATGAACAATATCTGGGTGAAAAACGCTTGTCTTGTCTTTCATGGCCTCATTCCTAAGGTAAGCAGCGCTGCATAAACAAAGAACTAAAACAATAAGTCAAGAAGGAGTGAGCACAGTTACATTTCCAAGAAACCATCCACAATAGTTTTAACTGCACGTGAAATGATGTCATGAGAAAAAGCAGGAATTGGAGATTTTGGTTAAGAGGAAGCACATGATAAAACAACATTAACCTGAAATTGAAAACAGAACAAGGTGTCGACTAGAGATCCAATACATTTAACTAGAAAAAAAAACAATTAATTTTCTGAACTTAGCAGTTGACAATTCAAATAAACTGGGAACGAAAGGCTTGATTAATTGTGACTAGCTAACTAACGGACCACAAACACCAAAGACAGTCTGCTGGAATCATGAGTCAAATGTTATAGATACCATACCATATTCTAGTTAATGAGCTTATTCCTTTTCATTCTCGCTCATCTCACACACATAAAATATTGAATTCTCATTATCGCTAATCTCATCTCACCCGAAAGTTCCTCCAGGTACTGCATAAACCAATTTAGAAAGAGAAAGAGATGATGTCATCAGGATAGCATTTACAAGGTTCATGGGTGATTAATGTAAGGTAAATCAACTGATGGAAAAATGCAAAAATATCACCTGGCAGCATACCTTATGATCCATGTAATCCAGAAAAAGAGGATTGAACCCAAAAATTTCTCCAGGTACTGCACAAACAAATTTACAAAGAGATAACATTTACAAGGTTCATGGGTGATTAATGTAAGGTAAATCGACAGATATTCATAAAAAAATGCAAAAATTAGAATAACACTTATCATACTAGTACGGAAGAGATAAACCTTGAGCATATTTCTCTTTTTTTTTTGGTAAGCCACAAAAACCTGTAGAATCGAGAATCTAACAGTTTGTCTTACGAGGAGAACACGCTACTTAAAATTTTATAGGATAACAATAATTTGGAATAAACAAACACCAAACTTACCAAATATCTTGGAACAAATGCCACATGATCATCCCATGTGTGGAATAAAAGCCCAATTTGTCTTGCAAGGACAAACTTCACCCAATAATCCGAGTCATTTAGCATTAGTGAAAAGTCTCAATCGTTGTCTCTACAAGTTAAAACAGAAATTCCATGAGTTATATAACAAGAAACAAAATTATATATGAATTCAACAAGGAACAGAGTAGAACATATAACTTACTCTTTCTTAGACCTAAGATAAAAGACATTTATAGTACACACTGTAGGTTGTCTTTCGCAACAAGTAATGGGTGCAAGGAAAATCTCATTTTCATCTGGAAGCAACATGAATTATCTCATTTACACAGAATGTACAAGAAAAATGTTATTTGACATGTAAAATAAGTCATGAAATGGTGGGAACCTTTTTGCTTCAAGAAGACACTAAAAAGAGAAGGCTAAACATTAGTATGATTATATATATTGCATATGCCAGTTCTTCATTTCTAAGGGAACAACATTATATGAGAAGTAGGCACCTGATCAATCTGAGGATTAAGCACGAGAAGATCACATATACAGTTGACAAACCTCGCCCACCCAAACCAACCCAAGACGCTAAATTCAGAAACTCTATTCACCATTGCGCCAAGTTGGACAAAGACCTGCACATTACTTGAGCAACAAATCAAGCAGATCATGGAAAGAACCAAATACTCAACTTAAATAGGAGAAGGTGCTCCCACTACTTTCTTTTTCTTTCAAAAAAAAAGCACAGTTTGTTCTGTATCTAGGAGAATTCAACCCCGACGACGATAATTTCGAAGTAAAACCTACAGAGCACTGTCTATATTAAGATAGTTACACTTGAAATTTACTTGTGTGTTAAGCATCTCATCCAAGAAAATAACCTTAAAAGTAAAATAGTGAAATGAGTATAAACAAAAGAAAAGTTGGTGAAGATGTTCATATAAATCTTCTAAATATTCACACCAAATTTAAATCAACACTTGAATTCCATATGAAATCATTAACCATTGGCACAGACGTTGAGCATGAAAGCTGGCATAGATGATACAGTATATATTCCAACACCTGCAAATAAGAAGTCGAACAATATGTTCCTGTAAGGTCCTCACAGTAACTTGAGATCACTAAGGTGAAAAGAAAAAAATGAATCTCAAATAGCTTAGGATCACATTCCTTCTCCATGATACTACATAGAGCATCCCATGTAGGAAACTGAAGTAGATAAGTGATATCATGCCAACCTTCCAACTTTTCCACCAATTATCCTGTCTTCAACAATACCGTAAGCTTTAGCAAAAGACTGCTCAGTATAACTAGTGAGAAGAACATTTTGGTATCTTCCATTGTTGAAGACAGGATAACTAGTAAGCCTCTGAAAGTTATTGAGGCTCTTTCAAACTGTTTCAACATGCTTTCTAACAAATAATGTCATGCTTTTAAGCAGAACAAACTGCTTCCTTTACCCTTCGTGAGAATTGAAAACGAAAATCCWTTTGACTCAAAGAAACGTCCATACAAAGAGATACACTTTAAGCTTGTTCATTGCAAATTCAGCAACATTTTGAGCAAGTTCATTGCAAGTTCAGCAACATTCACAACCACCTCTTAAACACCTACTCGGAAAATGATAAAAGTATCCCAAAATTACACGACTTTGCTTTTGAAAAGCTATATACATAGAACATGGTGACACTACTAACAGAACAATGCTGCATCGACAAGAGGGGGTTCACCATCTGTCAAGATTAACTATGAAGCTTTTGTTATAAGCTATATAAATAGAGTAAAGGAGCGAACTATTTCGATAGAGAAAATCTGATAAGAAAAAAACAATATCAATCATTCTCTTAGGAGGAGTTGACTAACCTTGTGATATAAGAGCCATGCATAAAAATGACACAACAGAGAACATCCCATAAAGATGTCAGACAGTTGTCCTTTCTCACTGTCCTCCAGAGTAATGCTAAGCAGTAGATTTTCGCGTCATGAAGCAATGCATCTCTTAACACCAGAGGTATTTATACTCCATCAGGAACTCCCGAAATAGAGATATGAAAATACAAAGAATTAAAAAAATATGTCAGCAGAGAAATGAGTTTAGGAAAAGGCTAGCAAAGATTAAGGATCCTCCACTTTGCTAGATTTCGAGCAAAGTCTTGCTAGAACCTCCACAGAGCATTCAAAGAATCGAAAATTTATTTCTTGGTCTACATCATCCATCTGGAAAAGAAACAAAAACAGTGAATTCTAGAACTCAAGCAGCAAACGTAGGATACCAAAAGCCTAATGTAACTTGACATCAAAAGAAAACTCCTATATGTAGACAGGCCATTAATGCTCTGTAAATACCCTCTGATTTCTATATGTAGCTAGGATGAAACAAAAAATACCATCAACTTCTCCATGGTGTGAAAGATATAACCTATCATATGCACGTTTCTATGAAAGTTATAACCTAAAGATGCACACAAAGGCAGTAAAGGAAGGTAGAATACCTCACTTGAGGGAACAAATGATTATGATATGTCCATAGTAGTATTTGGAAGACTGAAGCGTAAGGATATATGTATACGAAGGTCATTCACAATTCATTGTCAAGAAGTGACTGAAGCGTAAGGATATATGTGAAAAGCACCCTCCTTAACATTGTTTTTATCGCAAAACCCTTCTTCTGCCCTCACAATGTATAACAGCACCAAACCTTGATGATGCATCAAAGTTTCCAAAGGAAAGTTAACTACATGCCATTAGGAATCTCGTCCAAGTTAAGCAAAGTTGTGTTTTGCGAAAGAAATCTACAGAAAGTAATTGACCTTTTTTCCTTCGAGCCACGTATTCAATAATTTGAGAGCCACCTGGATATACAGATTATGTAAGAAATTCATCAACATTAGCATACTTGAAATGGAAAATATCAACAGATGAAGCAAGTTGCATAAAAAAAAATCAGTCAGGAATAGATACAAATTCATAAACTTGTAGTCAATGCTAGGGGTTTCCTTGTCCATTCCATGGCTTACTTCTGGGTGTTAGAAACACTATGGTCCGACACTGAAAACCAACCAGATTCGAAGGAATTAGGTAATATAACCAACCTCGTGAAGTGGCAGTATGATCAATCAAGAAAGTGAAGAAAAAATTCTATTAGCAAATATCAAAGAACCAGCCGTTGTGGTAGCGAGACCTAATTTAAACACAATTGAATCGTCTTTTCTTAGGTGTTACACAATATTAGCAGGTGAATACAAGAAAATAAGAATCTCGACGTTTCTTCAACCAAACCCTAAATGGAAAAAGCATCGCTGTGAGACAAACAGCAAAGAAATCAACAAAAAGCGAGACAAAGATTCACCAGAACTCAGCCGTTTCTCGCCTACGATCCAAACGATAAAAATGTAATTGAACCGTTGACCTCGCGATGACATCCCTCGAAGTAAACGGTGACATTGAACGAGGGATTTCTACAACGACAGAATAATCAGAAACGGCGACGATCAACCAACGACGAATTTCTGGGGAAAAGGTTTGGGTGTTTATTGATTTCGAATTTCTGGAGAGAAAGTTTCTAACGGGACTTTGGTGGATTTCGCCGACTAGGAAAACCTTTACTAGAGGTTTTATAGTTTTGCAGATCTACACAGTTGCCCCAATATCTAACCGTTACATTATGTAGCTCAATTTGACAATTATCAGATAAAAGCCCATATATTTTGTAGTGTTATATAATTTTGCCCCAATCTAACCGTTAGAATCTGATTTTCACTCTTGGTTTCAGATCCGTATCACTGTCCCATGATTCTCTTTGCCTAGTAGAGTAAATCTTCATCTTTAAGAGATAAGTATCTATGATGGAATTGAGTATCATGTTTTTGGGAATTTTCGTAGAGGTCTGAATCATTCTCGGAGGGGCGTTTTGCCGACGGTTTGAGTCTTCTCTATTGAGATTCTCTGAGATAATTCTGGTGGTTTGGTTCTTCTGTCCAAGTTGTTTCGGTTTGCTGAGGAAGGGAATCTGGGTTTTCGGAGTAGGGATCGGAAATTGCAATTTAGGGGAGACTGCTTTTAAATTTTCCAGTGTAAGTTGCTGCAGATCGGCGACCAGAAAACACCGGAGATGCTTCATTCGGCGACGCTTCTCCCCACTCAAGCCATGGTGTTGCCACGTAGTGGACACGTAGTGGTTGGTAGAACATTGGTGTTTCTCGATCCTTCTTTACATGAGCTGAATTTTCAATCTGTTGTAAAATTTATCGGGCTCCGTTTAACCCATTGTAAGCCCATTGGGCCTTCAGTAATGAAAAAAATCGTTTGGCGCCAAACAAAAAAAGAATATGATTTTCACTAAACTCAGTTTAGTCATTATTACATAAAAGCCCATTTGTTTTATAATGTACATCAATTTGCCCCAGTCAAACCGGATTCCAAGTTTTTTGTGATTAATAATACTCCAACTCACCATTATTCCGTATATATAAACCATTATATTACATCCCAATATGAACTGTCATGATCCATTATAAATTCCTAGTGATGTTGTATGTGAATGAAACTAAATTTGATGGATTATAATTGCATATCTACTTTACCAAAAATTTGTCGCAAATTTTGAAACTTTGCAAAAGATATAATTTTGAAATAGTATGACACACCCAAATTTTCATAATGGGAACATAGATATATTGAAAATGCTACAGAAAATAAAATAACCTAATTAACACGAAAAGCAAAGTCTAATGAACTAAATACAGAGTACAGAGTTTATTAGATCAAAAATATGGGAAGCATGCCCTATAAACACCCTAACGATAATATTACTCTCATATCCATTCTCCACACACAGAAAGCATTAGAAGAAGTGAGAAAATGTGCTGTTCATGAGAAAATTGGCCATGATGCGATGAGTCTTTTGTGTTGGATGAAATGAGTCCCAAAACACATACTTGTCTGCGTTGCTACATGTGAATGGGTTATTCCTTTGGCAACTATATCCCATCTCGAACATCCCCGTTGCGCAGCAAGCCGCTGCCGCAACCTCGAACCCAAAAGAGGAAGGTTTCTTGATGATTTGCATAAACGGTTCATAGGGATTTGAGAAAACGAGCACGGAACCAGGAAGCTCTTTGCTCAGCTTCTCAACAAGCTTCTCAAGCTTTCCGTTGAACTGGACCGCAATGTCGTTGAAGCGTCCAACGCACTCACCTCCCGTGCCAATGTTGGTGGCTCTCTCCAAAGGCATGCATCCCATTGGAGGTAGTCCACCTAGTGAGATCTTCCTAGCACCAAGTTCATGCAACTTCTTCACAAAGTCTTTGGCGATTCCAGCTAGAAAATCTTGGTAAAAACCGACCGAGTACTGAGAAGAACGGCCGCCAGGAAAGACGAAGTAGTTCTCGAGGAAATCGTTTGTTCCGATGCTTATGAGGTAGAGAGAGTCATTTATTGTCTCGGTGGCTCGGTCTTTTCCTTGGTATGCTTTAAGCTTTGTTTGGTATTCTTTGTAGTATTCGAGTTGTTTCCATAGAGGTAGTACTGACTGCAACCGCCATCAATAGAATATAATTACAAAATGTAGGAAAATACACAAATATAACCTTTTTATGAAATATTAATTAAGTCGTGGTTATTTTTTATATTTTTATTTTAGAAAAACTAATATTTACAGACGGATTTACTAAAAAAAAAGTAGATATACGAACCAAGATTTCTTATAAAAAAAAGTTTGTTTTAGGTTTTATTTTTATTTGTAATAAAAAAAAGTATACGAACAAAGACATTGAAGGAAGAAAATATATAAAAAGATTTGTTAGATTTCATATGCAAACCAATTATGATATTATTTGTTGACCCTATTTTTTATAATTTACTCATAAGTGTTATTTATTTCTATTATTATCTCACGAATCATAAATGTCTATAAAGACGTGTTTTATTTGTATGTGACATATCAAATAGTATAAATCATAAATACAAGGGAAGAAATTAAAGTCCGTACCAGAACATCAGAAGTGGCGTTGTCATAGCCTGTGGCAGCGGAAGCAAAGGTGACACCTGTTGCAAAATCTGAAATGTTATAAGAAGGATCCAAGTATGCCGGAATTATAGGTTTTAGCCCTATGGCTTCCGACATAAAATCGGTCGCAATCTTTCCATTGCAGAATCTCCCGGTTGGCTTCCCACCAACAAAGTCCCGTCCATATGGCTCAAAGTTGCTTCTTGCCACCGTTGGGATATAATTGTTGTTCCCGGCATCAACGGATGAGTCGCCAAACACGATGATTGCCGGGATTTTACCGGCAAACGTTATGGCTGGTGACATAGTTATCGTTAGGAAGAGAAGTGTGAAGAGACTTTTGAGGTATCCCATAGTGTTACTGGGTCTTGCGGTTTAGATTGTGATAGTGTGATTCCATGAGCTGTCTCTCTTTATAAGAAAACATGAGAGTTTGAAATGTGGTTTCATTGAATAAAGAGAGGTTTGTTGTGTGTTTCATTTAATGCTGAGAAATTCTGGTGAGACATTATTATTCTCAGCACGATTTGTTGTTTGGTCGTTTGCCGCTCCATCAATACTGCTCTTTTACCGTTGGA